AGTACTCTAAGCAAAAACAGTAAGCAATTACAAGTTTCATATCATACTAAGCCCCAAGACTCTGACAAAAACATGGCTTCTGAAAGCTCTTCCTCCTACTGGAATATTTTTTCCCAGAACACCAAGGCTGCTCCACCTGAAGACACCTCTACTATTAGCTCACCACTAGACCCTAGTGTAGAATACACAAAAAAATTTTTAAACATCACTATTAAAGATTGGTCCAAACTCACATTCTCTATTAGCTTATCCGTTCCTGAATATGCTAACACCTTCGTCTTCTTTGTTGATATTACTAAATCCAGAAAGATTCCTAACTTGACTAACTACCCATCACAATGAGTATGCAGACATGAAGATCCTACCCAATCAGTCCTGTTCGACCTTATATCACAGAAAAGTAACATCATCAATATTAGCGCCAAACACCCGAAACCCACCTGGAATAGTGACCTTGCAACAATTACAGACCTATATGAAGCAAATATGAAACTATATTTAAAAGCTAAATGCACAGAAAACTTAGCCTCAATCCCGTACAACTGTATTACAAACCTGGACTCAAATAATGAATCCAATAGAAGCAACAACAAACAAGTAGCACATATTGCTCCCATCACCAATCCTGGTCACCCCAAGACATAGTTGCAGGTTACACAAACATTAGCACAAACAACAACACTACAAACTTTGTATCAACTACAAACAGACCCCAAACACCAAAACAAATAACAGCTCTAGTGTCAACAATGCCATAAAGATGTCGGTACTTAGGCCCAGCACACACACCAACCAAATCACCCAGCCTGCACTTTCTGCATAAACTTTTAATTATACCCCTGCTGTCACCAGGACCAACCCTAGTACTAATCGTAAAAGACCCAGAAACTTATCCAATATATCTCCACTTGCTATAACTTCAAACAAAGCCTCCAAAGCCTTATCTAATAATACCTCCACACCTATTAGAATACAAGCAAGCATAAAGACAAATAATACTAAACCTACCTATAGCCAAGTAACTCAAACAAACCTCAAACTACTCAAAACTGAGGCCCCAGAAGACGAAATGGTGTGGGCATCAGAAGTTTACCTCAAAACAGCTACACCAATTAACACAACCTTCAATACCGATATTTGGACTATTGAGAAAATTGCTAAAGCACTTGAGACCCCAGAAGGCATCTACGAATTCACTAGTCACAAGCTCATTACTATCCAAACACATTACTAGCTACCTGAAGCAATTGCCCTTAAGTTTGCTCACCAGAATACTAGATTCTTTACTACCTCTACATGCAACTCCAAGATTATCCTGCACACCAAAAGGAATATAATGAGCTTTACAATAACGCTCTAGCAGCCTACAAACAGAATCATGAGATCACACTTACTAATATTACTACTCGTAATACTATTTATTCAATACTCAAAAAGTGGCTTATAGCCCAGTATCTCTCAAATCTTAACTTTTCCAAAACAACATACAAAGGAATATGCAATGCTATCCGGTATGCCAGAGGTTTCTTGAAGATCAAGAATACCAGTGAAGAAACTCCCAGAGAAATCAGAGCTCAAATCAACAAAGCACTCGAAAACAATCTTATTCCATTACCAGATACACCAGAAGAAATATCTAAAGAAGTTCAGGAGATCTTACCCTTTGAACTTTCTATTAAAATACGGTTATATACTAGAGCTGTTGTAAATGCTCTAAGAAGAATCTACAAATTTTCAGAGCTCCTTGAGGCATACTTTGCCAAACTCCCTCCACTACCTTCTCACTTTAATGAACTTCCACCCAACTTGTATCAGCTATTCCCTATTTCACACAGGTCTTCTCTTCAATATCTTGCTCTATATAAAAGAAAGCTAGCAGACTCATACACAGTCACTAAAATTCCAGACTCATACTTTGATCTTCCACTACCCAAGAAACCCCTAACTACAACATACCAAGAGCTTAACCCCAAAGTTTGAAAATTCTTTCTCTTTAATCAAGCTACTTTCTGAATACCTTTGGCAGATGTTGTTTCCCAACTTAGAGAATATTACATATTCAAACGACTTTTTTACAGTTAAGCCACTACTCTCTACAGATACTAGCAAAATCAAAACTACCAGAGCTTTCAACTTCCCTATTACAGATGATACAGAGGCTAGAGAGTTTATTAGACAGATCTCTCCCTTTTACAAAGTTCAACTCCCTCTTTCTACTGAGATTATGCAAGCTAATCCCACCAACAAACCTAGCCTGCCAGAAGCTGAAGAAATTACTAAACTTTATGATATCTACTTTCCAATTACAACTACTCATCAACTTACAGCTATAGCTAGAATACTTCAAAAGGATTATTACTTCACCTGGCTTCTCTCAGAATAGATTCAAATTAGCAACAGCTCTCTGACTAACACTGAGAGTACTGACCCAACAAGTCAGCAAACCTTGCCTAATATCCCAGAAGATATCGAAGAGATTATCAGAACTCTATCAAGACAGGAGATTATTGTATCAATTCCAATCCAAAAACAAGCAGACATCAACCCAACTATGAAAATCCTTAGACAGTTTTATACAATCAAAAAGATACCAGACTTCTTGCTTGACCTTTCCCCTCTTCCAACTCCAGCTTGGAGCATATTTAGCTATATACTTCTACCATCTAGTCCAATAACTCCAAGTACAATACAATCTTATGCAGAGGCTAATGCATCTATTCCAATATTTATGATAAAGGACCAGCAGCCATGACTTCTATACCTAGCAATACCCTATAATCACTATTAATTTTAGCAGAAAAAAGCACACTTAGCAATAATGACAACAACACCTCCTTATTAGATAATACAATCAATTCTTCACCATCGGACAATCTAACACCAATGGATACAAATAAACACTCCAATGAGTAATTCACACAATATACAAGTACAAACCTCCAATAACCAACAATACAACACTGCTCACCCCTTACTCAATCTCTCTATTTGTACTCACAACGTCTAAGGACTGAACAACAATACTAAAAAAGAAGCCTAAGAAGATTACTATATTATACAAAATCTCAGTATAATCAGCATTACTGAAACTAAGCTAGCTACCAACATAATAACAGCCAAACCCGAAAATTCTCTCACTATACATACTACTGGTCATGCACAAACAGCTCCAAAGCTGGAACAGCTATTATGATACAAAACCAACTCACTCCACATATACACAGGATTATTACTATACCTGGCTATGCAATTGCTATCGATCTCTTATTTAAACTTGACTTCAAGTTCCGTATTATTTCCACTTATTTGCCTTGTAATGATTCCCAGCTCAGATTACAAACACAAAATACTATTATTCAATGGATCCAACAGGCCTTAGCCAAAAACCTCCTTCCAATTATTCTTGGTGACTTCAATATATCTGCCTGCAATAGTTGGTCAAATACTATTAAACACAAGCTTCTTCAATTCCTCTCTACTAACAGTATGTATAATCTAGCAGCACATACTAGCCAGTCGGCCCCTACATGGCAGAGTTCTAGATACCAAAGTGAAATAGATTATATCTGGGCATATCAACCTATTTTACAATATCTTACAAGCTACACGATAGATGATACTAGTACTAGTACAGGCAGCGATCACAAAGTTTTACTATCATACTAGTCATTTCCCCATGCCTTTACCGGCCAACAGAGCATAAAACACGTACTTGCAGAAGAATATTCAACTATAAAGCTATGAGCAAAGAGCAATGGGAAGAGTATGCTAACCAAGTAAATAGCAACCTCTTACAGCACAAAACCCCGCTTACTATTAATACAAATAAGTTACTAGAGACTACCTGGTATAAGATCTAAACTAGTATCATTATAGCAGCACTTAAACATATCACTAACAAGAAGTTCACAGTCCAAAACTTTCAATACACTTTCACCCCCAAGGCCTCTCTATTGCATACTAATCTTAGAAAACTTGGAAGTACGATTAGAAAAGTAAAACAAACAACAAGCAACAATCTTCTTATCCCTACTCATCTCAATTCCTGCATAACTGAATTCAACAAAAAATGTCAGCTCCAAATTCCTCCCCTCCCCTCTACTGATCAACAGATAAAGACATGGCTTACTGATGCAAATGCAGAATAGAAAAGCCTTTACCATGCCCGCAATCTTGAAAATGCTAGACAAACTAGGCAGTCCATCACAGAAGCAATTCAAAAAAGATGCACCAAGCTTCAGACTCAACCTATTGCAATGATCAACAGTATACTAAATAGACACAAGGATCCAGTTAGATTCAATAATATCAGACTAGATAATGATGTAA